TTCTTGTTTCTTTCTTCCTTCTGGTCCACTCCATTGACTTGAATCCCAGTTTTCTTCCCATCACTACTGGATTCCTGTGCTTTTTCCTTCATTTCACTGAGTGTAGCCTTCATTTTTTTTCATCTAATTTGCAACCAAAATCAGTCAATTCTGTGAGCATCCTGAACACCAGTGTTTTGAACTGTACATCTGCTAGGTTGGATATCTATTTGTCGCTTAAAAGTATTTGCTCTGGGGCTTTGATTTGTTCTTCTGTTTGAGCCATTGGTCAGGTCACGCCTGTTACATATGAGGAGCAGAGCCTTAGGTTCTCACCAGGGTGGGGCAACCCAATGGCTGGGTTGTGATACTGTATGTGGGTGTGGGGTCCAGGGTGTGGGGTCCGAGAGGGAACAATGGCGCTTGCTTCACTTTCTGCTACGGGATTTCAGTCCCTTCCACCACTTTCCACAAGCAAATTGGGCTCTTCTGGTGCTGGTTCCTGGGTAGGTGGGGTTGTGTATGTTCTAGGACCCTGTGGGTCTCTCCAATGAACTCTCCTGTGAGGCTGGGAGTCTTTCCCAGCACCTTTTTAATCAGTGCTTTTAGGCTGTATTTCCTGTCACTGAGGCCCTGGGTTACGTGGTCTGTCTTGTTGCCTGTTTTTTGCCTAGTTTATCTGCAGTCAGCCAACCACCTGTGCGTTCTGCTTGTTTTCTCCCCATGCCTGGGGTCTGCTAGCTCCTTGCTGCCTATTCTCCCATGTCTGGCAGCCACCGCCTTTTCCTGTCTCGACCCCTCTCCACAGGCCACTGACACCCCTCTTATTGGTCCGGGTAAATGGTTGTGGAACTTCTGTACAGTTCAATTTTCTTTCTGTTCTGGTTGTGTTTTTGTTTCTAAATCTTTGTTGTCCTTAATTTTGGTTGTGCCAGGAGGCACAGTATTTCTACCTACGCCTCCATCTCGACCAGAAGTCAAATTTTGCTACTTGATATGTCTTCCTATTATTAAAAATCAGTACTTGGCCTTCTTCCTAAGTAGACGACAAAACCTGAAGATGTTGAGAAGACAACCGCTGTAGGGTGACGAGTGGTGAGGACTCAGCCTTCCATTGTGGCATTTCAGAACCATTTTATTTTTAGGTATAAGAAGAAGAGATTTTTCTCTAAAAAGTTACTTAACTATATATTTAAATTTCCTTGTTTCTACACACATTACTTATATATTATTATTAATATTTTAAACTTTAAATTTTATTACCTTTTTATCGAAATTATTGGGTGATATTGGTTAATAAAATTATAGGTTTTATGTATACAATTCTGAAATACATAATCTTCATATTGTATTGTGTGTTTACCACCCCAAGCTAAATCTCTTTCCATCTCCATTTATTCCCCCTTCCCCTCTGCCCCCACTTCACTTTCCCTTGGAAATCACCATACTGCTGTCTGTGCCCCTTCACAGACAGCACCTTTTTCACAAAGCCCCAACTCCCTCTCCCCTGACAGCTGTCAGTCTGTTCTCTATCTATGAGTCTGTTTCTATTTTGTTTATTTTGTTCATTAGATTCCACATATGACTAAAGTCATATGGTACTTTTCTTTTTCTGACTGGCTTATTTCACTTTGCATAGTGCTTTCTAGGTCTAGCTAGACAAAGGGAAAGATTTCCTTTTTTTAATGTCCAAATAGCATTCCATCATGTAAATGTACCACAGGCCTTTTTATCCATTCATCTACTAATGGGCACTTGGGCAGTTTCCAAATCTTGGTGACTTTAAATAATGCTGCAGACATAAGGGTGCATATATTCTTTTGAATTCAAACTAATTAGAATTCTAATTAATGTTCTGCGTTTCTTCAAATATACTTCCAGAATTGATATTGCTGGGTCATAAGGCAGTTCCATTTTTAATTTTTGGCGATAATTCCATAATGCTTTCCACAGCGGGTGCATCAATCTACCTTCTCACCTTTCTCCACATCCTCACCAACACTTGTTGTTCATTGATTTATTGATCGTAGCCATTCTCACAGGTATAAGGTGATATCTCTTTCTGTTTTTAATTTGCATTTCTCTGATGATTAGTGACCTTGAGCACCTTCTACTGGCCATCTGTATGTCCTGACTGGAGAAGTGTCTATTCAGGTCCTTTGTTCAATTTTAATAGGATTGTTTGTTTTTTCTTGGTGTTGAGTTTTATATGTTCTGTATAAATTTTGGATATTAACCCCTTATAAAATATATAATTAGTAAATATGTTCTTCAATCCAGCAGGTTGTCTTTTTATTTTGTTGATGGTTTCCTTTGCTGTGTAAAAACTTTTTATATTGATGTAGTCTGGTCTGTTTATTTATTTCTTTTGTTTCCTTTGCCTGAGGATATATATCAGAGAAATATTGCCTTAAGAAATGAAACATCAGAAACAGAAATCAGGAAAATCCCATTTGATATAGCAACACAAAAAATAAAATACTTAGGAATCTCCCTGGCTGGTGTAACTCAGTGGATTGAACATGGGCCTATGAAGCAAAGAGTCACTGGTTCAATTCCCAGTCAGGGCACATGCCTGGGTTGCAGGCCAGGTCCCTAGTAGGGGACACATGAGTGGCAACCACACATTGATGTTTCTCTCCCACTCTTTCTCCTTCCCTTCCCCTCTCTCTAAAAATAAATAAATAAAATATTTTAAAAAATAAAATGAACAAATAAAATACCTAGGAATAAACTTAACCAATGAGGTAAAAGACCTGTATGCAGAAAACTACACAACACTGAAAAAAGAAATCAAGGAAGACACAAACAAATGGAAGCGTATACCGTGTTCATGGATCAGAAGAATTAACATCATCAAAATGTCCATACTACCCAAACCAATTTACAGATTCAATGCAATACGTATTAAAGTACTAATGGCATATTTCACAGACATAGAACAAACACTTCAAAAATTTACATGGAACCATAAATGACTCCAAATAGCTGAAGTAATTTTGAGAAAAGATGAATAAAGTAGGAGGGATCACAATACCTGATATCAAACTGTATTACAAGGCCACTGTAATCAAAACAGCCTGGTATTGGCATAAAAATAGGCACATAGACCAATGGAACAGAGCAGAGAGCCAAGAAATAAACCCAAGTCTATACGGTCAATTAATATTTGACAAAGGGGGTAATAACATAAAATGGAGTGAAAATAGCCTCTTCAACAAATAGTGTTGGGAGAACTGGACAGCTATGTGCAAAAAAATGAAAGTCAATCACCAACTTACACCATACACCAAAATAAATTCAAGGTGGATAAAAGACTTAAATATAAGCCGTGACACCATTAAAGTCCTAGAGGAAAACATTGGCAAGAAAATCTCAGATATTCCACACAGCAACATTTTTACCGATATGTCCCTAGAGCAAGGGACATAAAGGAAAGAATAAATAAATGGGATCTCATCAAAATTAAAAGCTTCTGCATGGCTAAAGAGAACAGTATTAAAATAAAAAGAGAACCAACCACATGGGAAGAGATATTTGCCAATGATACCTCAGACAAGGGGTTAATCTTCAAAATGTATAAAGAACTTACATGACTCCACTCTAAGAAGACAAGCAACCCAATTAAAAAATGGGCAAAGGACTTGAACAGACACTTCTCCAAGAAGGACATACAAAGAATCCAGTGACACATAAAAAGATGCTCAGTATCCCTAGCTATCAGAGAGATGCAAATTAAAACCACAATGTGATGCCATTTCACACCAGTCAGAATTGTCATAATAGACAAAGCAGCAGGCAACAAGTGTTGGAGAGGTTGTGGGGAAAAGGGAACCCTCATGCACTGTTGGTGGGATTGCAGACTGGTACAACCACTATGGAAAACAGTATGGAATTTTCTAAGAAAACTAAAAATGAATATGCCTTTTGACCCAGCAATTTCACTGCTAGGATTATACCCTAAGAACCCTGAAAATCACCAATCCAAAAGAACCTATGCACCCCAATGTCCATAGCAGCACAATTTACAATAGCCAAGTGCTAGAAGCAGCCCAGGTACCCAGCAGTAAATGAATGGATCCAAAAATTATGGTACATATACACAATGGAATACTATGCAGCAGAGAGAAAGAATGAACTCTGACCCTTTAAGGCAGCATGGATGGAACTGGAGAGCATTATGGTAAGTAATATAAGCCAGGCAGTGAAAGACAAATACCATATGATCTCACCTTTAACAGGAACCTACTCAACAAGACAAGTAAGCAAGCAAAATATAACCAAAGACACTGAAATTGAGAACAGGCTGACAGTGACCAGAGGGGAGAGGGAAGAGAGTTATAGGGGAAAGGGGTGAAGGGTTTGCAGGAACAAGTATAAAGGACATGTGGACTATAACAAGGGGCGGGTGGAAACAGGGGAGGGAGGTGGGAAAGGCTGGGGTGGTGGGGAGGGGTGGGGAGAAAAGGCAGAAAACTGTACTCAGACAACAATAAAAAAGTTAAAAAAAGGAAAAATATATATTCACACACACAAAAAGAAATGTCTAAGGTTTTACTTCCTATGTTTTCTTCTAGGATTTTTATGGTTTTGATTCCAACATTTAAGTTTTTTATCCATTTTGAGTTTATTCTAGTGCAGGGTGTAAGTTGGTGGTCTAGTTTCATTCTTTTTTCATGCATCAGTCCAGTTTTCCCCACACCATTTATTGAAGAGACTGTCTTTACTCCATTCGTTCGTCAAAGAATAATTGACTACGTAGGTGTGGGTTTATGTGTGTATGTGTGTGTATATAATTTATGTGTGTATATATATGTATATATGTATGTGTATATATATACATATATACATATACATACATACACACACATAAATTAAATACCAGGAAAATTTTTTTATGCTAAAATTGTTTGGGTTGTATTTAATTGTACTAAAGGTCCTGCTTATAAATGATGACTTCTCAAATAAAAACTATTGCTCTTCTTAAATATTTATTTCTCTTTCCCCCTTGCTTTCCATAGGATGGATTTATTGACTTTTTAGAGTTTATTGCTGCAGTTAATCTAGTTGTACGAGGAAAAATGGAGCAAAAATTAAAGTGGTATTTTAAGCTATATGATGCTGATGGAAATGGTTCTATTGACAAAAAGGAACTACTGAACATGTTCACGGTGAGTGAAGTGGTAAAACATCCTTTGCAGGATGTTATACAGTTAATTCGACTTTCATCCTTTTGGAGAAGTGACAGCTCTCCACGTGCTTGGCTATTTTGGGATGCACACTTGGCATTGCTAAAAGTGTCACTATCTTATTGGTCACTGAGTGTAAAACTGCGAATCACGTTTTCTTCTCACCGTAGTCTACTCTGAGGTTCACAAATTTAGCAGAGCATTGAAATGAAAAATGAAATAGCCATAACTTAAAACAACTTATCTTTTTCACTCTGCCTCGGTGCACAAAGCCTTGCAAGGAACAACTGTAACGGAAGATGGCTTATGTAAAGAGAGGCGTGGACTAAGAATGAAGGTGCCTGAGGACTAAACTTTCTGGGAGCTGGACTGAAGTATCTCTAATAAATAGCTCCGAATTCCCAATCCTTTCCATCTCTAAAGTTCAATAAGTCCTTTTATAAATTGCATTCCTCTTCACCAGTGGAGTGGGGATAGTTATTATCACTGAGGGAGATAAAATGGATTTTCAGAGTAAAAGATGATTAAGTGAGAGATTTTACCTAAATGAAGATATAAAGTAAAATAAACGTTCTGGATGCAATATACTGAATTTATAGCAGAATTGGAGTTATAATCAGATGTCTTCAAAATAATCTGGTTGAAATTCTTTCAATTATAGATGAAGGAGCTGAGTTACACACATAATTTATAGTAGAAATATTAGTAAAAGTGCAAAAAATGGGCAGAACTATGATTTTAATTAAATGCCCAAACAAATGGAAAAACTTGTTAAAATGTAAAACTTTTAGGAAATGTGTAGTTAATCAATATATGGTAAGAATTCAAAAGTATGATAATACTAATATTGCTTTCACTTTAATCTCACATAAACAATTCACAAAAAAAGTACTAAAAGGCACTTTGTAATCAAACTTTGTAAGCATTAAATTTAGAAATTTTGCATACATACTGCAGGCTGCAACGCAGAATTCAGAATCTAAACTATTCTATAGAGAGTGCCCAACCCCATGTAAATGTGAAATTATCTTATTAAATAAATGTACTCAAACGTATTTTAAAAACACTGAATTCCCAATACAGCATGCAAATAAATGCTGGGAGAAGCCCCTGGGGCAGTGCTCGGAGTGGGCTTCCTTTTTCTGGGGTCTGCATAGGGGTCTCTTGAGACCTTTGACATCCAGGGCAAAATGTTGCCTGTGTGTCACCCATTTTGGGGTGGAGGGAGGGGGTTATCAGAGTCTCAAAAGAATTAGAACAAAAAAATAAAAGCGATTTTGTTTAAATCCTGCAGGAAAATGTACATATATTTTCATTAATGAACCTGTATAACCTGAGGAGTCAAGGAAAGAGAAATATTAAGTAGATAATTCAGTTTTACTTTGAAAGAAAACAGAAACAAAATTAAAAACTGAAATAATGAAAGCACAGAGCAGACATTTAATAATTACACACTCTTAGTCTTCAATTAAATTAATAAAGATTAAAAGCAATAAGATATATTTCTGGCAATGACACTACAAGAAGAGGATCCTCACCCACTGTGGAGTATATAAATAGATAACATTCTTTGAAATCTGGTTATCTGTATTAAGTTGCTAAAATTTAATTTTAATTTATTATTTTTAAAAAATAGATTCTTGAATATATTTTTTTAGATTTTATTTATTTATCTTTAGAGGGGAAGGAGAGAGGGAGAGAAACATCAATGTACGGTTGCCTCTAGTGCGTCCCCTGCTTGGAACTGGCCTGCAGGGAACTGGCCTGCAACCCAGGCATGTGCCCTGACTAGGAATTGAATTGAGATCCTCTGGTTCGCAGGCCTGTGCTCAATCCACTGAGCTACACCAGCCAGGGCAAATTTCATTTATTTTTAGGTCGCTAAAGTAAATTTTTATTTTTGTTATTTAAAACAATTGTTTATTTTTATTGTATTTTCCATGACCATTTATCCCCCCCTATACCCACTTCCTCCTGCACCCACCCCGCCCCCTGCTGTTGCCACACCGTTGTCCAGGTCCGTGAGTTCTTTTTTCCTCAATCCAGCCCCTCACGACACTCCCCCCAGAGCTTCCAGCCTGCTCTCTATCTGAGTCCGTCTCTATTTTGCTTGTTAACTCAGTTTGTTCATTAGATTTCACATACAAGTGAAATCATATGGCATTTGCCCTTCTCTGGCTGGCTTATTTCATTCAGCATGATGTGTTCCAGGCCCATCCATACTGTTGCAAAGAGCAAATTTTTCTTTTTTGTGGCCACGTAGTATGCCATGGCATAAATGTACCAGGGCCTTTTGATCCACTCTTCTACCGATCGACATTTAGGCTCCACTAAATCTTGGCAATTGTAAATAATGTGGCAAGGAACACAGGGGTGATTATGTTATTCCAAATATGTGTTTTGTTCACTTCTTTAGATAAATTCCCAGAGATGAAATTGCTGACTCATTAGGAGTTCCATTTTTAATCTTTTGAGAAAACTCTATACTGCTTTCCACAGTGGCTGGAACAATCTGCCCTCCCACCGACAGTGTACCAGGGTTCCCCCTTCTCCACATCCTTGCCAGCACCTGTTTGTAGATGGATTGATGATAGCCATCCTGACAGGCATTAGGTAGTATCTCATTGTGGTTTTAATGTGCATTTCTCTGAGGATTAGGGATGTTGAGTATCTTTTCATATGTCTATTGGCCATATGTCTCTGGAGAAGTGTCTGTTCAGGTCCTTTGCCCATTTTTAATTGGATTTCTTTTTGTGTGTTGAGTTTTTTTAAGTTCTTTATAAATTTTGGATATTGACCCCTTATCAGATGTGTTAGAGAAAATGTTTTCCAGTTCAGTGGGTTGTCTTTTTTTCTTTTCATTTGCTGCACAATATTTTTTCCTTTGCTGTACAAAAACATTTTAGTTTGATATGGTTTAATTTGTTTATTTTTACTTCTGTTTCTCTTGCTGGAAGACATATATTGAAAAAAATATTGCTACAAGCAGTGTCTGAGGTTTTACTGCCTAAGTTTTGTTCTAGGATTTTTATGGTTTTAAGCCTAACATTTAAGTCTTTAATTCATTTTGAATTTATTCAACATTTCTAAATTTAGTTCAGAAAAATATAATTATTAATCTCATAAAGATAGAAGTCTCTGATTTACATCACAGAATCACTTAAGAGAGTAAAAATACAAAACAATCTAAAAGAGAAAAAATTTTAAATGGGACCAGAAGCATGAAAATATGGAACAAACCCACAGCAGCCAGAGCTGGGAGAGGGGGAAGAGATTAGTCCAAGAACATGTATGAATGACCCATGGATGTGGAAAACAGTGTGAAGACTAACTGTGGGAACAGGGGTGTGGGCTGGGTGGAGGAGCGCAAAGGGGGAAAAGTTGGAACAACTGTAATAGAACAACAATAACAAAAATGTTTAATAAAATTAAATTAATACAATGGAATATGCACTTATGAAAAAAAGAGGGATATAAACGTATGTTTATATTATGGCAAACATATGTTCTATATATATGGCAAACCTCCAGAAGGGTGAAGAATAATATATACTGTATAATATAAGTTCTCTCAACAGGTTGTTAAAATGGAATTCAGCCCAGCCATTTCAAGACCTGAAGGAAGTACTAGAATGTCAGCAGAATGTATGAAGGAAGTAGTTACATCTTAACCTCACTTCAAGGCTATGAAATGGTCAAGAGGAGGGTTTTGGGAAGCGTTATAAGAAAGGATTTCTTGGGTGATAGTGCTGAAGTCAGCAGCATAGGGATTAAGGAGGCTGTTGTGATGAGGATAGACCCTACGGTTTGGGAACACAAGGCTGCCGTGTCTGCACCACACCCAAAAAGCCCGAAGAGGCGCACATGACAGCAGAGTCAGAGGGATGAGGTTTAGGAAATGTCTGCATTTCTAGAATTTGTTGGGTGGAAGGATGCCTGGGTTGCTCCACAGATCAGATAGGAGCCACTGGGAGGGGCAGCTGCACACGGTTGTCTTGAATTTTGTCCGGCGGAGCCACTTGGAGAAGTGAGGGACCCTCCGAAGAAGAAAGCTGGAGACAGACCTAAAGAATGGTTCTCAACCAGGAACGGTTTTACACTCTTCTCCCCTGGAGACATTTGGCAATGTGACGGGATGTTTCGGTTGTCAACGGGGAGCTGCGGAAGGTGTAGTGCTACCGCCATTTATTGTTCAGAGACCAGGGCTGTTGTTAAACATTATATAATGCAGGGCACGATCCTGAACAAGAAAGAATTGCCTAGTCCAACCTGGCAGTTGTGTAGGTGTTGAGAAACCCAGACCTGGAGGATACAGAGGAGCCTCAGAGGCTCAGCTGGAATTAAAATACATGTTTTATGTTTAGGGAATTGCAGGAGAGAGAGAGTCTCAGAAACAAAAAGGAAGTGGGGGGGGATGTTCAGAAAGAGTGGACTTTAGACATCTGCCATCCGAAGAGCTCTGAAACTAGATAACCACAACAGAACTAAGTCCTGCTTCCCTTTCTCTCCTACCTTCTCCTGTTCCCACTCAGGGAGCAATCAGAGAAAAGCTTCTCAAAATGCAAGAGAGAGAGCATATACTAAATAAGGAAGGAAATGATAAAACAAACCATTCTCCCTGTTCATCTCCCCACCCTGCTCTTCCTATAAAAAAGAGGGAAGACACAGGGCTTGACAATTTCCTCCAAAAATATCATCCCCTCAAGCCTTGTCACCTTCCAATCAATCCTTCACTCTCACTTGCATTGCCAGGGGATGGGCGATGGACAAATCCTAGACATTTTATAATCTTTTATTATGACTTTCACATATGAGGCCTAAAGTCCCTTCAGGGTGTAGGGATACTGGAGGCCTAGCCACATCTTCTAGGCTTGGGGGTCTCTGCCAAGACATTAAAAAAACCTAAAAACTTCATCTAATAAGATGCCACATGGCTGTAACAATTCCTCTAAGCGTCGCCCTATATTTAACAGTGAGACCTTGAATTGCTAGGGCCAGGAGTGGTGCTTCGCAACTGTTTATTATGATTAATCCTGGTTTCAGGACTAGTCATGCTCGAGACACAGCAAATTTTAAGATTGCTAGTAGAAAACATACACTACCCCTGAAATTCAAAGTGTTGTTTCTGCAGCCTATGTTGCAAGTATTGCCAAAGTGTCAGGAGGCTTGAGTCCTTGCTGCCGTGCTGTCCGAGGTGGGAAAACATACATGTTGCATAAAATCCCCATAGATGTGATTGATCGAATCAGAGTGGCACTGCAGCCTTGTTGTTTAAATCTAGGAAGTCCGGTCTCACTTCCAAGCACAGCTTCCTCAGCAAGTATTGAACTACAGCAATAAAGCTGAAAAAAGCGTCCTGATTCTATGATATTGTTCAGTTTGCCATGTGTCTATCATTCTTTATCCTGACACCAATATCAAAAGCAAAAACAGGAGCCCTTCATTTTTCCCGCTCTATTTAATTGGTTCTCCTGTACTTTTACTGTAACTAAACAAAATATATGGAAATGCTTATGATTATTGTGTTAAAAATGAAGGAATATTATGTAACAAAACAAGAAAAACAGGAAAAGAGATAGTCTTGTTTTAGACCATGCTCTAACTGAAATGTGTTGCCACAGGGTTTTCTAAAAAGATTCCCTGATGTTCAATCAAGATAGCTACATTCCAATTCCAGATTTACTCTGGAATTTATTCCGGAATTTATTCTCTCTGTGTGTCTTTCTTTAAGCTTATTATGAATTTCTATATCAATTATGGGCTGTTTAATTTTATTACCTGGAGCAGGAATGAGGGGTGGAGATTTAAATCTTTCCACAAAAAAAAGCTGCAAATGTCATTTTTCTCGAGTCTCCTGATAGTTTTTATGATGAAAAGGTGCTGGCAGAGTGTGAGAGAAATTCAGTGTCCTTCCAAGACATACGTATCTGTCTCCCCATTCAAACATTTTATTGAAGGGCAGAAAGGATCAGAGGTACCAGTGTCGGAAACCAGAAAGGAAGCCTTACATACTCACAGATCGTCTTTTTATGTTCATCCATAAGATCAAAGATGATAGGTCTGAAATGGAAAATATCATCTGTTCTCTGGGTCTGTCATTGTTATGACAGTGACCACTACAATTTTTTTCTCCAGTGGGTTCTTGGCATCTTTTGTGACCTAATATGTTGAATGGGTCCCTTTGTGCTGTATAAAATCAAACTTCAGACTGTATTCAGTTCATTTAACTCCCAAGCCTCATTACTCAGAACTGACATAAAATCTTTCTTATTTTAAGGACTAGAACAAGTTAGATAGTAAAACTCACATGGATACATCCCCTAATTCTGTCACATAGGGATAGAAATGCCATAAAGTGTGCTTACTTCCAGCAAAGTTAGCCTCCCTGATTTAATTTCTCTTTGCAGACTATACAAGCCCTCAATGGCCAGCAAACTCTGAGTCCTGAAGAATTCACCAGCTTGGTGTTTCATAAGATTGATATGAACCACGATGGTAAGGCAGCTACTCTCCTCGGCTCACTTGTCTTACAAAGTAGGAGATGGTAGTGGTGGGCATGCCATTTAGACAAAAGCATGAACCTGTCAAGAGAACCCTAGTTGTGATATAATTTGAGCTACATAATTTGATGAGTCCAGTATTTTCCGGTTGGTACAATTCAACTGAGCAAGTATTTATTGGCCACATTTATATTCAGTGCATGGTGCCTGAGACTTTAGGATGAAGAGTAAAGGGAAGATATAAGGAAAGAAAAATGGGAGACTATGAGATGAAGGACCCACTGCTGTTTGCTCTGGTTCATGTTCTAGTCATCATTTACTTTCTACTGGAGGTTTCTCATCAACTTACAAATAAAATTTAGTTTTCCTTACTGAACAAATCCTTCCTTCAATGATTCTATCTTCTTCTGTTATCAACTTTTGTTTCTTCCCTTCGGCTACACATTTCTGGAAAGAGTTGTCCATACTTGCCCCTATTTCTGCTCTTTCTACCTTTTCTACATTTCTACTCTTTCTTCTAATTTCTGTATCTGCTCTTACTACCTAAAATATGGATTCTTCTTTGGATCAAAGAAGTTTCACTTCTTCAGAGGCAGAGTGGAAAGGGAAGGCACAGATATTCTAAGAGAAGAGAGAGTGCTCACGTAATTGGCTAGGTGAACATATTCATTTGAGATTGAGGAGCATATCCAGGAATGGTCCACACAAAAAAAGAAAGTTTGGAACATGTAAAACATAATGTTAGTAAGAGACTCTTTTACACGTATGGATATGAGGCAATGGGAGTCCAGGCGTGGTTGTCATCAATCCAGCACTTCTCCACAGAATCAACCTGCCCCTGGAGGGTCTCTTCTTACAGTGGACATTAGAGGGCAGTGGAGACCCATGTTGAGTGTGGCAGTTAAGCACTAATCAAATGTGCAAATGTGCAAAATTAGGCAGGATGGATGGACTGGTGAGAAGGCTGAAATAGAGTTCAAATGAAATTGTCATTATGAATGAGCCAAACAAGTGGACAGGACTATAATTTTCAGAAAAACAGTTTGGGAATAATAAATAGCACCAGTCCCTTCTTAAGGACTTAGTTCTAGATCAGACTCACCTCAATATCAAGTCAGAATGCTCACTTAATAGTTTACCAAGATCAAAGCTATTCGGTGTGAAAGTTTGCAAGAAACAAATGCAGGTTCCATGAGTTGATGAGAAAGTTAAGTAAAGCTTGAAAGAGACCAGAGAAGTGGAGAGTGGAAGGTCTTATGAGGCCAGTGAAACATTATCTAGAGTATGCAACCAAAGCCAGTGATCACCAAATAGGGGAAATGCTGTAGGTTGTGTTCTACTATGTTTTAATTTTTATACCTAGAGTTCCTGTAGGATGGCAGAGATTGAAGTAGAGAGGTTAAAATCTTTCTTCCTGGAAGCTGAAATCATATTTGGAAGTAAATAGGGAATCACAAATGTTTAAGACTTGGTATACGGTGAACAAAAGCAAACTAAATGGACAGCTAGATCAGGAGTGGAAACATAGAAATGAAGATCTCAAGGAAGGTTAGCAATGGGGGAGTGGGAGGAGGAGAAGGGGGGAGAAGGTACAGAAAATAAGTAGCATAGACAGTAGATAGAAAATAGATGGGGGGCAAGAATAGTATGGGAAATATAGAATCTAAAGAACTTGAGACACATGGTCATAAACTAAAGGGGGGGTAATGGTGGGGAGGGGGGAGTAGGGTGGAGGGGAATGAAGGGGGGAATAGAACAACTGTAATGGCATAATCAATAAAAAATATATAAATAAACAAAAAAAGACTTAGTATACGGTGAATTTCAAAAGCCAGGTCAACAATGTGTGAAAATATCTATATACCCTGTTTCTGGTGGTGAGAGAGGGGGAATAGAAAAAAGGCAACCTTCCTTGGAGAAATATGAGGATTGTAGCATCTTTAAGAAGACACTCAGATCTATTTGTTTGAAAGAATAGACAATATGTTCCAGAAAACAAGAAAATGAATCAGGTTTCTCAACAACACCATATAAAGAACCAGTAAAATGGGGACTATGGGTTGGAAGAGGCTTAGAAATAGAAAGATCAGGATTGAAAAAGGGTCTGGTCTGGGGGAGTACAGATGTGGTGCTCAGGCATTAACTGAGGCTGCCTGCAGTTAGAAAATTGACCTCTTTTACCTGGGAGAATATCTCAAAAGAGGGAGAATGAATTATGGTTTCTGGAATAGCTTATAGAACTAATCACACGAATCATTTCCTCTGATAAAAACTTGTCTAAAAATAAATGAAAATATCAAACTAGTTGCACTTTGGAAGAACAAGGAAACACCGTTTCTTGGCAAAAGCACATGCAGAGCTGAAACGGGATAGAATTCACTTTCATGTGGAGATTATTGGAGGTTGTTATATCATCTCATCAAGAAATAGCTGGGTCATTCCATGTGTATAAAAAAAGAAGGATGATAAAATTGTTCTGTTGGACAAAGACAGCTCAGTGCACCAGAGGACAAGGAAGAGAAAGTAATGAAGATGCAGAAGGTTGATATTTACAGAAGTATAAAAGGATTTTCCAGTATTTGACAGAGGAGAAAGAAGTGCTTCATTCACACATATAGGAGAAGTTTGTATCAACACAGAGGAGAATGTGTTATTGATTTATACACATTTATAGAAGCCTAGTCAAATATGATTTTTATTTTTATTATCATTGTGATGTTAGCATCAGTGTTGGGCCCTGACTAGTATGGCTTAGTGGGTTGGCCACAGTTTCACAAATCAAAAGATTCCCATTCAGGGCACATGTCTGGGTTGTAGGCCAGGTCCCTGGTTGGGGGTCTGAGAGGCAACCAATTGATATTTCTCTTTCACATTGATGATTCTCTCTCTCTTTCTCTCTCTCCCCCACACCCCACCTCTTTCTCCCTCCATTCCCCTCTATCTATAAATAAATAAATAAATAAATAAATAAACAAACAAACAAACAAATAAATAAATAAAATCTTAAAAAAAACTGTTGGTAGAAATAGAAATGTTCAATTAAGTATACCAAAATAAAAAGCAAGCACATCATTAGTAACTGATGATCTAATGAATAGTGAAACACACCAAGATACAATAAGAAAAACTTCAGGGACACATATGAAAACCCTAATTAGACTGCAAATTGTTTGCAAAAGAATGATCAATATGAGGTCTGTTCATACAAAAAAATACATAACAGCTATGAAGTATTCTATGCATAATTATCATGGTAGTTAGCAAGTAAAAGTTAGAAGATTGATCTAAAAAGAAATATAGAAATAATGCTAAAAATAAAAAGATGAGCTAAAAAACTATTTTCATTTTATATACCTTGGTATTTCCCCTGCTGTCACACTTTCTGGCACATAGGTACTCTAGAAATAGTTGACAAATGAATGAGTGTCTGATAAGAAGATGTCCTATGAAAAGCAAAAGAAGAAATAAAAAAGAAACAAGCATAATATTTATTTCTATCTGTAGGAAGAAAGACCTGTACAAGACTGTTTTGGAAATTAACATATTATATGCATTGCAAAACCTCATAAAATATAAACACAGATTGATTAGCAGGAGTTAATTAACAATGGAAAGTAGAATTGGGGGACCAGAGAGAGGTTGGTTAAAGAGAGATTCTTTCTTTTCATTACACCTTCCAGCAGTGTTTGAATTTTTTTACCATGAAAAAGTATTATTGTTATAATTCAAGTAATGTTTATTTTTATATTATGCACAATAGCATCCAGGAAGGAGAGCTTGATGAGAATCACAAAGACAGAGAACTGAAGTTCAATATTCAATATTGTTGAAGAATGGAAACAGAGAGGGCAGTAAGACGAGTTGGGATAAATGACTGGGTGTGGAATTCCACAACCTTTACTCCTGGAAGAAGAGCAGTCTGAGTTTCACCATGAGCTGCTTAGAAGTTGTTCCTGACTTGATTTAGGAAGATTTATAGATGCTGTTCAAAACATTAAGAGCCAAAAGTATAATGTAGCGCCAAATAGCACAGGGATAAGAAAGACTTAAGTGGCCTATAAAATAAGCAATGAAAGAAAAAGGGACAGAAGAAAGCCAAAGGAGAAATAAAGAAGGGTGATTGTTGTGAGGACATTTAGGGTAAAAGAAAATGGACAGAATGTGAAGGAAGACATTGAGTGACTGACCAGAAAGGTGTGTTTTATTTATTTTTTAGATATATTTTATTGAGTATGCTATTACAGTTGTCTCATTTCCCCCCCTTATTACTCTCTGCCCTGCACCCCCTTCCACTCTCATTTTCTCCCACCCTCTTTCATGTTCATGGATCATACATATAAGTTCTTTGGCTTCTACATTCTTACAGTATTCTTAACCTCCCCCTGTCTATTTTGTACCCTCCATTTATGCTTCTTATTACCTGTGCCTTTTCCCCATTCTTCCGTCACCCTCTCCCTGCTGCTAACCCTCCATGTGATCTCCAGTTCTGGGATTCTATTCCTGTTCTAGTTGTTTGCTTAGCTTTTGTTTTTGTTTCTTTTTATGTTCAGTTGTTGATAGTTGTGAGTTTGTTTCATTTTACTGTTCATAGTTTTGATCCTCTTTTTCTTACGTAAGTCCCTTTAACATTTTATATAATAAGGGCTTGGTGATGATGAACTCCTTTAACTTGACCTTATCTGGGAAGCACTTGATCTGCCCTTCCATTCTAAATGATAGCTTTGCTGGATAGAGTCATCTTGGATGTAGGTCCTTGCCTTTTTTGACTTCAAACTCTTCTTTCCATCCCCTTTTTGCCTGCAAGGTTCCTTTTGAGAAGTCAGCTGACAGTTTTATGGGAACTCCTTTGTAGGTAACAGTCTCCTTTTCCCTTGCTGCTTTTAAGATTCTCTGCTTATCTTTAATCTTGGGTATAGTAATTATGATGTACCTTGGTGTGTGCTTCACTGGGTCCAACTTCTTTGGGACTCTCTGAGCTTCCTGGACTTCCTGGAAGTCTATATTATTTGCCAGATCAGGGAAGTTCTCCTTCATTATTTTTTCAAATAAATTTTCAATTTCTTGGTCTTCCTCTTTTTCTTTTGGCACCTCTCTGATTTGGCTGTTGGATCTTTTAAAATTATCCTAGAGGTTCCTCAGCCTCTCCTCATGTTTTTGACCTCTTGTTTCTTTTCTGTTCTATTTAGACGTTTATTTGTTTCTTCTGATCCAAATTATTGATTTGAGTCCCAGTTTCCTTCACTTCACTGTTGGTTACCTGTACATTTCTCTTCATTTCACTTTGCATAGCCTTCACTTTTTCCTCTATTTTGTGACCATACTCAACCATTTCTGTGAGCATCTTGATTAGCAGTTTTTTGAACTCTGCATCTGATAGGTTGGCTATCTCTTTATTGCTTAGTTCTATTTTTGGAGCTTTCATCTATTCTTTATATGGGCCATATATGTATATATATTTTTGTCTCAGTATGCCTTTATGTAATGAGGGGTGGAGCCTTAGGTATTAGCCAAGGTGGGGCAACCCAGGTCACTGTGATTCAGCACTGCTTGTGGGGGGGTGGGTTTGAGAGGGAACAGTACCACTCGATCCACTCTTAGCCAACTTTCAGTCACTTCCCCTGCTATCCACAAGCAAATTGGGACCTTCTGGTGCTGATTCCAATGTGGGTGGGCTTGTGTACATTCTAGGACCCTCTGGGTCTCTCCAACAAACTCTCCTGTCAGGCTGGGAGTTTCTCCCACCACCACAACCCCCACAGGTTTTTACTGCCAGAGATTTTGAGGCTTTGTTTCCCCACACTGGAGCCCTGGGTTGTGCAGTCTGTCTTTCCCCCTAGTTGTACTTCATGGTTATCTGCATGCAAATGTGGGACTACCTTGTCTGCCAGCTGCTGCCTTGCTATGAGTCCTCTCTGCCCCAGCTGCCCATCTCCGCCCCTCCTACTGGTCTGGATAAATGTTTCTTTTTTAACTCATGGTTGTTGAACTTCCATACAGTTCAGTTTTCTAGTAGTTCAGCTTATTTTTTGTTTTTAAATTTGTGGTTGCTCTTCTTGTGGTTGTGTGAGGAGGCAAAGTGTATCTACCTGCACCTCCTTCTTGGTCAGTTAGATTCCCTGATATTCAAAAGATGTGTTTTAGACTGGAACATTCTAGAAAGTCACAAGGGTCACAGTGAAGCAAACTGGGAACAGGTGAGAGGGGATTGAGTTTCTTCATATAAAAGAAGAAACCTGTGTACTTATGTAACAGGGTGCAGCCAAGGGTGGGCCCCAAATAGGAATTTGAAATGGGGTCCAGAACTTGGTGTCCATGAAATATTAGAAAAAAATATATATGGGATGTCCTCACCCCCACAAGTCTGAGCTGGGGAATGGGACCCATGGAGCAAGGTAATTGAGAGTTGTTTTGAATACCAAACATTTTGCAGATAACCTCCAGATGCTATTTAACATATCTATAACCTTTAACTGGCTTCATAGATATGTTAAACAGCTGTGGCCAGGCTTTGAGCTAGGAGGATGGGAGTTACTTCAACCCATGATGTAACTGGGAGGCAACTCCTTCTGGTTACTGCGCCTGCGTAAGGGCTTGGAGATGACTGACTCCATACCCTAGGGCCACCCTGCCTGGACTTACTATGGAAGCCCCATAAAGCTGGAAAAATACGGGAGTGCTGCCAGCTGTGGCTAATTGTGGGAGGAGTCAGAAATGGTGCACAGAGAAAGATTGATGCTGGGATTTAAAACCCAGGCATTGTACTGGCTGGTATAGCTCAGTGGATTGAGTGCGGGCCTGCGAACCAGATAATCGCGTGTTCGATTCCCAGTCAGGGCACATTCCGGGGTTTCAGGCCGGTTCCCTGCAGGCCAGTTCCCAGCAGGGGATGCATAAAAGGCAACCATACATTGATGTTTCCCCTCCTTCCTCCTTCCCTTCCCCTCTAAAGATAAATAAAAATCTTAAAAAGAAAAACCCAGGCACTGCAGCCATGTGGGATTTTTTGGGGACCATGCAGCTTGGGCAGAGAAGAACCACGGACTTCTATTTTTTTCTGAGGTATGGTACCCCAGACTGGGCAGAGGAGGAAGGAAGAACTGTGTGTTTGTGGGCATTCCAAAGGACTTTGGGATATCAATGTAAATATTAAGTCATTACTCTTAAGCTTGTATAACTCTTTAAATAAATAATCCCTTTCCTTTTCACCAATCCCTGACACTGAGAGATGTCTTTCCCTGGCAGCAGACAAGGCAAACCTAGTAGGGTGTGGGGGACCCCCAGAGCACAAGGGTGGGTGCATTTGGTAGTAGAATATCATTCACCCCACCCAGGTCTGTTCCGTAACACTTAAAACTCTGCTATGATTTTTATGATCTCATAGCATTGGTAGTTCCCAGTTTCCAGTTTGCTTCACTGTGACTTTGTGGCTTTCCAGAGTGTTCCACATTCTAAAACATGTCTTTTTGGTCAGCCACTCGATGCCTTCTTTTATGCTCTGTCTCTGTTTTCTTTTACCCTAAATGACTGCTCAATAATCACTTTCTTTCTACTGTGATGTACACCTGACACTAACGCAAAATTATATTGGAAGTAAACTATAATTTAAAAATAAAAAGAAACACCTCAGCTATAAAATACTGCTAAATGCCTCTATGCAACCTTGATAATGAATACAAAACTTGTTTTGTTGAAAATGTTCCTCAGCATCCTTCTTTGAATATCTGGTCATTCTCATCTCCTGAGATTCCTCATTCCTATCTTTGCTTAGCTCCAGCACCATTTTTCCCTTGTTCTAGTATATAAAAATTAATGCTAATTGGAAAAAAACTTTTTTTACAAAGGTTGGTTTCTTTTAAAATCAGACTAGCTTCTTTAAAGCAATTATGGTAATGTGGGCACATGCAATAAAGTTTGGATTTTGGGGGAGGGGGAGCAGTGATTTTTTGATTTCTCATAAAAATATTTAAGCTGTTAATAGGATGGAATATATAACCCAAGAGGATCAAGAAGATAACCAGACTGCAGAAACAGGACCAAAGAGAAAGTGGTGGGTAGCTGTCTTTTCACCAGTGAAAATGCTGAAATTGGTACTGAGTGATTTGAGAGCACCAGTAACACTGACCAGTGGTGTAATGAACTCTGTAGGGATTGAGAAGCACAAATTGGTCATTACAAAACAGTCCCATGGATATAAAGTACAGCACAGGGAATATAGTCAATAATATTGTAACAATTATGTACAGTACCAGGTGGGCACTGGAAATATTGAGGGAGAAGAGCAGGGACACTTGGTGAAGCATATGGCTGTCTAACCATTATGATGCACACCTGAAATTAATACAGAATAATGTTGAATGTAAACTGTCATTGAAAAAGAATTTAAAAAGGAAAAATATATATCATAATAAAAAATTTTTTTAAGTATTTCTTTTACTCTTTTTTACATCTGTAACCTGGATTGCTTTTTAGTCAACATGCAGCTATACCCCAGGCCTGCAGACAGCTTCTTTCATGGCAGCAGTGATAACAGAGAAGTGTTGAAACTGAATGGCCAAAATCTACTTCAGCTCTCCGATCTCCACTTTCACTGCTCCTTTGTCACACTGAGTCCCTAAAGATTTGAAAAGTCTCTTGGGCTGGGACTGAGCAGCTGTAATTTTCTTTTGCAACCGGCAGTTGTTCTTTTGTTATGTGTGGTCCCCTGCCCCTCCATCTCTGCACCCATGTGACTCTCCCACCCACACACTTCGCACTCCTTTTTATTTTTAATTTTCTCTACTTCATTTTGGACATTGTACATTTCCTGTGAGACATAGAGAATTCTATTCCTATGTGTTAGCTGGGGTTGTGCACAGACTTCTTTGGCATAAGGAAAATGTAAGGAGCAAAGATTAGATTTTCCTCTAAAAAATGTATTTTAGTATTTTGCCATTGAAAACAAAAGGAAAGTATGTTATTGAATGTAACGATTCATGCTTATTTATATTTGAAGCACTGTGGAGGTATCTTAGATATTTGTCTTTATCCATTAAAAAGTACAGGCACAGTGCAACACCTGATCTCAGTCTCTGCTGACTTCCTGCGCCATGCTCCAGTTACTGAACGTCCTTGACTTGTCTTTGACCTGTCTTCCACCCAGACACAAACTCTACTAGATACAATCTCTTTGAAATCAGATATTGCATCTGTACCCCTCTACTTGGATACACTCATAATTAGAATACAAATAAGTCAACAAAGAACTCCACCACATAGCCACCAAAAATGTTGAACAGTTGTCTTGTGGGATGAGAGTAGTGGGAAAATATGGCAGCCAGTATACAAGGGGTACATTGTTTTATAGCACTGGACTGGCCAGTATAGGATAAGGCTTAAGTTAAGGTAATAACATTAGAAATCAACAATCAGAACAGAGGAGGAGAACTAATGATCAATATGGGGAATGAATAAATGTTTAACCTGTCTGGGTGGAGCATCTGGAATTTTTTCTCAGAGAGAGGAATATTGCAAACAGCCTTACAAACAATTATTTTCTCCTGATCTTAGAAATCTTCAATCTTCATGCTTCTATGACTTGGTGTATCTTCAAGATTAAAGGTCAAGTAACCAAAACTGTGGAAAGACGTGAATGTATATGAGCTCACGGGTGCTTTATCTCACATCTCAGCTCAAAGATAAAAATAGATTGTATTCATCATCTTTATTTTCACTAGCAATCCTAACATTGAATGCTTTTCTATATAAGGATAGTCAAAGAATTTAGAGTCTGGTTGACATTAAAACATATCAAAGAAGAATATCAGTAATGGTACCAGTGAATATATTGTAATATGGCAGTGAGTGCTATGGACAAAGCCTCTGGTTAATTGTTTATTTTCTAGGAGAACTGACTTTAGAAGAATTTATCAGTGGCACAGAAAAAGATCAGGATCTTCTGGAGATTGTTTCCAAGAGCTTCGACTTTTCCAATGTCCTGAAAGTTATCTGTAATGGGAAGCAGCCAGACACAGGAGCAAGCTTCCCTCAAACCATCTGACAAGGCTGGTCTACAGAAGATGACAGTGAAGTGGCTTTGAGAATGGCTTTCCCAGGTTTCAGTTAAGAAGAAATGAAATATACCCCATGTATATGTTATTGACTGCAGATTTTTGTTATAATTGGTGCCAGTTTATGAACACATGACTTATCTTAAGTCCCATAGAGCCTTCCATAAAAATCCTAGACAAACCATTGTTGTTTTTTTGTTTATACATTAGTATTCTCTGGGCAGATCAGAATATGATGATTAAACTGAAGAATTGTCTCCTTATCTATCAGTTCAAAATGGAGCTCACATATGCTTCCTTGCACACCCAAATTAATCTCATCTTGAAATAGAACTAGATGATCTGGGCAGTGTCTCCACAGGTTAGCGTACTTGTTAGACTAAACATGTATTTGGCAAATGTGTTTACTGCCTCCTGGCTCTTGTTGCATCCATACATCATAAATGACTGAGCTCTGGTCTATTGAGAAACTTTTTTTTTCTCTTCTTTCCTACTCCCAACCCTGAATGCTGTCTTGAATCAGTAATAATGTTCTGTTGCAAAGGCAAAAATCTTAAGCTCTGTAGTAAAAGAAAAAAAATTCCGGCTGGGCAATGAGAATGTTTCTGTCTGGCTTGTTATAACTCTGGGTCCATTTGTGCATGAAAATGCAATGCATCATCTGTAATTATTATGCCAGTTGGAGGTTTGATCAGAACAGCAGACAGCCAGGCTATGCAACAACAAGCACTTGACATTTTAAATGGTCCTGACATTATAGCTCTGGCATTTCATTTTTTACGTATCCTTTCCCAAAAAATGAAATGATGAATGAGATTTCTTGATGGTTACAATTTTTTAAGTTTGGGATTCTATATCACAGGCCCACTAGTATATCTTTGAATGCAAGGCTTTCTTATAGAAACACAGTGGAAGTTGAAGAGAAGATGTGAGCTGTCTTTATGAAAAAAGCTCCCTAATTATGCTTTTGTATTCAAACTTGGGTCAAAAACACACAATTGAAACTATAAAGACAGAGTTAGACTGTCCCTGCTTCACTCATACTTACAGATGGATAAAATTATAGAGAGAGGTATAGATGAGGCACACATGGCAGTAAAATGAAGTGTAAATGGAGGTTTCATAGCGCTCAGCCAGATGAGCCCTGGCTGGTGTAGCTCAGTGGACTGAGAGTGGGCCTGCGAACCAGAGGATCGCAGTTTGATTCCCAGTCAGGGCACAAGCCTGGGATGCAGGCCAGTTCCCGGCAGGGGATGCACAAGAGGCAACCACGCATTGATATTTCTCTCCCTTTCTCCTTCCCTTCTCCTCTAAAGATAAATAAATTTTAAAACAATTTTAAAAAGTGATAGATGAATGTATAAATCCAAATATAGATGATGGCAGTATAGATGGAGATGGAAATACTCCAAGGATTTCCACAAGATTTTGAGGAGATTTACAAAGAAGTACACAATATAATGTAAAGTATATTAAAATAAAGTGGTCACAAATAAGGTAATATGAAAAAAATCACTGCAGCCATCATGACACAAAGTTCTACTCATTTGCCAAAAGTGCGCAACCCACTGGACTCTGAGCTTCCCAGTAGTAGAAGTGAAAAGAAAAACATCAGTACGGTCTTGCCCCAGCCACAATCCCATTCCGGCAGTGAGAGTTGATTTCACTCCCTCCTGCCCCACATTCCTCTGAGACACCTAGTGTTCTTTCCACAGAAAATGCCCACTTGATGCTTTGAACCCTGTAGTTCTTGTCTGGCTTCTCCAGGCTCCAGTTATGCTGCTGCCTCTTACCTGGATCCTCCTCCACCTCACGACCCCTTTGGGATCATGACTGCTTTGTCTAGTTTACCTAGGCTTGGTTTTAGTTTTTCCTGGATGCTGCCTCTTAGATTTCTAAAGTCTGTTCCGGGTTCTGTACCCCAAACCCACTTCATGTCCACCTACTCTCAAAGTGACCCTAGGTCTCATGGATCAGTTCCTTTCTAAAGAATAGCTTCGTTTTACCTGTAAGGACAGCAGGATGGCCCACATAGCACACCTCTGTCAACTTCTTAGAAAAATTGGTCATTGGGTACAAATAATGTAAAGATACTAGATACTAAAGATTCATTTGTCATATGAATACAAATCATAAAATATTACCTACTTCATAGTTTTGCTGAGGGTGGTATTAAAAGATGAGTCTGAAATTTAGGTACAAAAACATTTATATTAATTAGGTACAAAATTAATTAGGTAAAAAAGCACTTAGATTAGATGAGGTAGAAAAAACAGAGGCTAGAAAAACAGACCCACATTGTTTCCTTCAATTGTCCAGCTTTTTTTTAATTTAAAAAAATTATTTTTTTTTGTTTTGGGGGGTTTTCTTTCATGTTTTGTTTCCCTTTTTCTTTTTTTATTTTTTAAATTATTATTCAAGTACAGTTTTCTGTCTTTTACACCCACCCAGCCCTCCTCTATTCCCTCTCATTTCCTTCCCCCCTAGTTTTTGTCCATGTGTCCTTTATACTTGTTCCCGTAAACCCTTCCCTTTTTTGCCTGAAATTCTCTCCTCTCTCCCCTCTGGTCACTGTCAACCTGTTCTCTATTTCAGTGTCTTTGGTTATATTTTGCTTGTTTGTTTGTTTAAGTTTCAGTCAAAGGTGAGATCATATGGTATTTGTCTTTTATCACCTAGCTTATTTCACTTAGCATAATGCTTTCCAGTTCCATCCATGCTGTTCCAAAGGAAAGGAGCTCCTTCTTTCTTTCTGCTACATAATATTCCATTGTGTAAATGTACCATAGTTTTTTATATCCACTCATTTACTGATGGGCACTTAGGTTGCTTCTAGCACTTGGCTATAGTAAATTGTTCTGCTATGAACATTGGGGTGCATAGGTTCTTCTGGACTGGTGATTTTCAGGGTTCTTAGGGTATAAACCTAGCAGTGGAATTGCTGGGTCAAAAGGCAGATCCATTTTTAGTTTTCTGAGGAAATTCCATACTGCTTTCCACAATGGCTACACCAGTCTGCAATCCCACCAACAGTGCACTAAGGTTCCTTTTTCTCTACATCCTCTCTAACACTTGTTTGTTGCTTTGTTTATGATGACAATTCTGACTGGTGTGAAGTGGTATCTCATTGTGGTTTTAATTTGCATCTCTCTGATAGCTAGGGATGCTGAGCATCTGTTGGTATGTCTCTGGATCCTCTGTATGTCCTCCTTGGAAAAGTGTTCAAGTCCTTTGCCCACTGTTTAATTGGGTTGCTTGTCTTCTTAGAGTCATGTAAGTTCTTTATATATTTTGAAGATTAAGCCCTTGTCTGAGGTATCATTGGCAAATATGTTTTCCTGTATGGTTGGTTCTCTTTTTATTTTAATACTGTTTTCTTTAGCCACGCAGAAGCTTTTTATTGTGATGAGATCCCATTTGTTTATTCTTTCCTTTATGTCCCTCGCCCTAGGGGACATATCAATAAAAATGTTGCTGCGTGAAATATCTGAGATTTTCCTGCCAATGTTCTTCTCTAGGACTTTAATGGTGTCACGGCTTATATTTAAGTCTTTTATCCACCTCAAATTTGTTTCTGTGTATGGTGTAAGTTGGTGCTCAAGTTTTATTTTTTTTCCACATAGCTGTCCAGTTCTCCCAACACCATTTGTTGAAAAGGCTATTTTTAGTCCATTTTATGTTACTGCCCCCTTTGTCAAATATTAATTGACTGTATAGACTTGGGTTTATTTCTGGGCTCTCCGTGTTGTTTCATTGGTCCACGTGCTTGTTTTTATGCCAGTACCAGGCTGTTTTGATTACAGTGGCTTTGTAATACAGTTTGGTATCAGGTATTGTGATCCCTCCTACTTTGCTCTTCTTTCTCAAAATTGCAGCAGCTATTTGGGGTCATTTATGGTTCCATATACATTTTTGAAGTGTTTGTTCTGTCTGTGAAATATGCCATTGGTACTTTAATAGGTATTGCACTGAATATGTAAATTGCTTTGGGTAGAATGGATATTTTGGTGATGTTAATTCTTCTGATCCACAAACACAGTAGATTTTTCCATTTGTTTGTGTCTTCCTTGATTTCTTTTTTCAGTGTTGTGTAGTTTTCTGCATATAGGTTTTTTACCTCCTTGGTTAGGTTTATTGCTAGGTATTTTATTTTTCTTTTTGCTATATCAAGTGAGATTTTTTTCTTGATTTTTGCTTCTGCTGTTCCATTGCTGGTACACAAAAATGCCTTTGATTTCTGGATATTGACTTTGTGTCCCGCTGTTTTGCCAAGTTCATTTATTAGGTTAAGTAGCACAAAAAAACCCTCTTGCTGATTTCAAACTGGCCAAACAAATATTTCTGGTCTTGCTGGCTGCAGCAGGCTGAGGGGCAACTGGTATGCTTTTCTCTCTTCCTGTTCAGCACTCAGTCAGCCTTGCATGCACTTTTCCCCAGGACTGGTCTCACACTCTCCCCAGAGCTAACCTGGTGCCCCTCTGGGTGTAGGCTCCTGGCCCCCTGAGGTGCCAGCACTCTGTCTGGGCTCATGGGTGCAAGCTCCAGGCCTCCTGAGGCATGCATGCTCTCTGGGTGAGAGGCCTTTTGTGGAGGTGTGCTCTCTCTGCGTCCACGGGTGTGATCACCAGGTGTTCCACAAAGCTCTCTGTCCTGGGTTTGTGGGCATGCACACCCAGCCAGGCTGCCTCCAGTCTCACAGGCTCAAGTGCACACTCTTCCCAGGGCTATGTGTGGGTGCTCGCAGCCCCTGTGTGTTTGCCGCTCAGTCCTTACTCCCCTCTCTGAGACTTCAGGCAACCAGGTCTGCCCTAGTGCTGCTCAAATCCTGCTTGGCTGAGGAGGAAGCACTGACTCAGCTCTCTCCCAAGAGCCCTGTGGCCGGCCCAGTGGCCCTGGGCCTGGGGCTGCAGCCTCCCTGGTCCCCATGCTTAGTTTTTGGCCTTATTGTCCTGAAGCACTGTCCTTACCATCTGGGTTTTCAATGTCCGCTACAATTTTTGATCTCCTGTTTTCCTATATGCTGTGGTACTGGTGGCTGTCTGCTCTGTTCCTCTGTAGTTTGGCCAGGTTTTTATCCCATGTGTAGGGGGAAACGGACTGTGCTCCCTCTTACCTAGCCTCCATCTTTTCTCCTCAAGTCTCCAGCTCTTAAACTCATATCTCCCTGAAGTCAAGTTTCTTCTCCATGCTTTCCTTTGCTACTTAGCATCATGAGCCAAGCCCAAGGAAATAGTTCTAGTCTACATATGAAATCATGTTACTTTAATGAATTAGATATTTATTTAAGTAAATTTCTTCTAATTTTACATGATAAGCTTTAAGCAGAGTCTACTGCCTAGTGATTTTTTTTAAATTGCATTTTTTTTGTATTTAATTCAAATCCCATGTGTTTCTCCCTAATGGCTTTACAGTAATATTTCAATTAAGGGATTGCAGGACAAGTAGGGCCTAGAGTGTGAAGAACCTCAAAAACTTTAATTAACTTCTGAGACTGTCATCCTCATTTACCAAAGGGCAGTGGCCCAGCCACAATTATAACCATCTAATGAGAACCTACATGCTTCAACATATTTTCCTTTTTTCCCCCTAGAATTCCTTGATGCATTGATGGAAAAACACTAT